CAAAACTTTTGAGGGTTAGTTTCTCCTAACTCTATTCTATCTTTTCTATTCTTGGTATAAAAGAAATAAACTTCAATGACTCATTATAGTTTAACAATATATTGTTAATTAATTAATTTTCAGGGGTAAGTAAAATTCAAAATGTATGAGGGTGTGAGTAAGGAATTTGAAAATGATTGAGCGAAAATCCGAGAGTTTCCCTCACCACTTTAAGCAGGGCGCTTCTCCCATGTATTTCTTACAGCCAATTTCTCACTCTATTTGGATTTTTCACGGCGTCTATTTTCGGATAGCCAATTACATTTAAATTATTTTCTAAGGACAGAGATATTTTTCTCTCTAATTCCGTTTCTAACGCTCGCCAAGAACAATGTCATTGTCTACCTGTCAATCATTTTCCTTTAACTGATTTTTATTTTCTAAAATCTTTAATTTCTCAAAAAAAATAACTTTAAAATTATTTAACTTTTACCATTAATTTTTAAATAATTTTTACTTTAATATAACATATAATTTTATTTAATTATTATTAATTTCAGCAATAAAATAAAAAAAATTTTATTATTTTATTTTCTAAATATTTAAAAAATATAAAATAAATTTATCCTTTAAATAATAATCTATAGAAATTCTTTATTTTAAAAAAAAAGCTTTAAATTTAAATTAAATTAATAATTATCTTTATTCGAATTTATATCTACCTTCTCCTTCTATTATTTTTCCTGTTTATATTTTCATTGTGTTATCTATAGATATCTTCTCTCTCTTTCTATTATTTTCAGAAATTCAATTTATCTAGTTTTAATTTCATTTCATAATGTAATTTTATTTTTAATATTTATTAATGCATAATTTTCAAATAATTTATAATTATTTTATAATAAAAATTTTTGACTATTGAAATACCATTTCAATGTCCCCTTAAACAAATGAATTTTTTTAACATAAAAAATTTTTTATTTGTTTAAAAAACAAATTTCAATTTCAATTGTCAAAAAGAGAGAAAGAAAAAACAATTTTATATAAAAAAAAATTTTTTTTTTAAAGAAAAATTTGACTAAGCAATGCCCCTCTAAACGAATGAATTTCATAATTTATGAATAAATTTATTCGTTCATTAAGAAAAAAAATTATTTATTATATTTACAATGCTGAGCTGTTATGCTCCTGAGGCTCTTACAAGTTCATCCTCAAATTCGTCCTCAAAATCTTCTTCTACCTCATCTTGATTCAAGAATAAATCGTACGAGTCTGATTTAAGTATAGCTAGTTCTTTCTCTAATAACCAATCGTCGAGTGAGTACAGTTGGTTTATTTTCGCGCATCCCACATATGGATTGTTAACGAATTTTTTTATATAGAAATCTACCGTCATATTTTTTATGAAGGCATGAAATCTGGAATTAGTTCCAGACTCCCAAATCTCACGTCGCGGTGGACAAATATCGCTTAATGCAATATTAAAAGTAAATTTAGAGATCTGTAATTCTATATTCTATATTGTTCCTCCTTGTCTTTATAAAAGTTAAGAATCTTCTCCTTCATTTCTGTTTGTACATCCTCTCTATGCGTTAATTTGGATTTTATAGCTGATGGATTTATTGAGTTTATGATTCTCATTTTGTACTTTTTATTGTTGAGAACCATGTCAGGATATTGCTCATACCCTGTTACTATATCGTTTTCAATTAAATTTTGATGTAGCATCTTGAAAATAAAATAAAGAACAAAAGAAATAATAATAATCATAATATTTAATTTTAATTAAAACACGCTAATGAAAATCAAAACGAGACATGAGATTTATAATTTATGTATTTTTTGAAAGAAGGTAAATAAAAAAAAAAATAAAGTATATTTAAAAAAAATTATTCGGTATAATCCGTTAATCGGATTATATTTGGATATATAATCACATTAATTTTCACAAATACTGGAAAGGGTTCTTCCTCTTTCACCTTGTTATTATTTTTTTTTATTGTGGAACAGATACCTGTCCACACTAAACTTCACTATTTCAATTTTAGTGATTACAGGTTTATTTTTTAATATTTTTTACTTTTTGTTTTTTTTAATTTTATTTCTCTTTATTAAAAGATCTAATCTAATCTAATGCATACATATGTTATTTATTTAGGTTTATTTTATTCTAATGTATAATAATTACTGTAATACTAATTTTATGCTATTATTATAGCACTGTAGCATACCTCAAAATGTAGTTAATCACAAACACGATTTTTTTAATGACCACGAAATACAATTGAATCAACTAAATGACATTCAGTACACTACTATCTTCTAAATTTATATTTTCTTATTTAATTATAATATTTTCATATGATTATTTTTAATGTGTTAATATAATTGGTTTCTATTATAATTAGATGCTTAACCAATTATATTATATATTTGATTTTCGCGCTATTTGTTTCAAATTTGAAAACATAGAATTATTGTATGTTTTTTTTCAATATATATCTTTTTTTTATTTTTTTATTTTTCCTTATTTATTTATTTATTTTTGCTTCCTCGTGGAGAAAGCTTTGTAGTCCTTTCGTTTATAAAACTTTTCAAAGTGGCGGAAACAAATTTTTTTCTCTATAGAAACATGTTATATGAGATCCTGATCAATTGTCCGGATGTATGTATGTGTGTGTGTGTGTATGTGTGTGGATCCCTTTTTTGTTTAGAAGATAACTTTAACAGGTTTTATTGGATTTAGATAAAATTTGGTAGGCTCATTTATCATATTAATATCTCAAATCTGACCAAAGGATTTTGAAAAATACCCAAAAAAAAAAATTTTATCGGCTTTTTTCCAAAAATTTTTTTTAATCGAAAAAAATTTTAAATAGAAAAATTTTAGGTTACATATAATAAAATCGTTTTCCTTACGTCAAGACGAATCGATCGATATATATAAAGTATACATTTGAAGTAAACTTAAAGAATTAATGAAAGTTAAAAAATCAAAAATTCACGTTTTGGCAATAAAATTTTGCTTTCTCCACGAGGAAGCAAATTTTTTTGCTGATCGTAAAGAGGAAGCAAAATGTTCATGTAATGAACATCTGAATTTACAACTTGTTATAATAGTAACAATTGTTTTTATTGGTGATTTTTTTATTATTATTTTACATATATATATATATATATAAACAATATATGTTTCTTTCTAAATGATAATTTATATATATTTGAATATACATATTTTGAAATGATCAATGGGTAAATCAATAACATTCTACAGTACAACTTTGCATTGATGTTACTAACATTTTTCTAAGAGATAGCGCCACCTTCTACGCAGTGAATTTAAAATTTCAATTCTATATATGTGACGCTCCCTGAGCTGCTTTTCAGTTAATGTCCATTATCTATGTTAAAGTAAAGATGCGTGCGCAGTTTTTTTTAAAGTGGGAGTGAAAAGAAGTGGGAGAAAAAAGAAGAGTGGGGCTGATGACATATAATGCAGAACACAAGCCCGGAGATAGCATAACTGTTACAGATATACTGAAGCAACAACATCCACAGCTGACACAGCATTAGCATCACTACTCCATCTTCTATAAGGTATATATTCTACTTTAACTCCTTTTTGTAACCCATTCCCCTCACAGCTTAATTTTTGATTTTTATATTAAAATTTTCCATTTACTTCTGCTTACAGATATAAAAAGAAATCATGGATTTACAAAAACTCAACGCTATTGGTTACATGGAAAGTTTCCTGCCAACAAAACCGCTTGCTCAGTTGACTCCAAATGCTTTATATACTGTAACCAAAATAAAGAGGGTGCAGACAAAATTCGAAGGTAGGATTGTAGCAGAACTAGATGCAAAATTTACAACTTTCCTCCCAGCAAGGTTCGCAAAGCTGTTCGAAGCTGAACCAGTTTGTAATTAACTCGTTGTTATTATTTTTGTGTGTAGTGAATCAAAACGAACCCTCATTCAATTACAAACGTTAGAATGAATTAAAAATAATTTTAATTAATATTTAATAATAAAATACTTCATTTCTTTGCTCATAATTTTTAAATAATTTTTATTTCTGCAATATACACTATAAAAAGTTTTGATAAATAATTGTTTTAAATTATTCTATATTTTTTTTCTAAATATAATTATAGAATATTTGTTACAAGTTTGCTTCTATAATTAAATTAAATGATTTTATGATAAAAATTGTTCTTTAAAAGGTAATAAAATATTTTATTATTTCTTAATAAATAATTATTTTTATTTTTGAATATTTAACAATGTAATATTAAGCTTCTCACAAGTTCAGAAAAATCTGTCTATTTAGTATATAAAGATGTTCACAATTTCTCATTTCAGCGTGAATTATGTATCTATATGTGTTGCGCTATTCTGCGTTTATGTATGCGTTTTGTAGTTAGGATGTGTTAGGAATAATTTTAAGTCAATCAAAGCGTACCAGTTATGTGTGTGTATTAAGAAAGACCCCCACTACCCTCGAATAGAAAAGGAGAGAAAATCTGAGAAAAGAGCCATTGGTGGTTCCGACGTTTTTCTTTTTTTCACGGCTCCTGCTTTTTCGTATAGTTTTAGCAAATTACGAAATATTGGTTCTTGTTTTTCGTATAAATTTAGTAAATAACAAAGTACTAGACTGTTCACTTCATATACTGTTTTTTCATATAGTTTTTTCAATATTCGAAAATTGTAGATTTGAATTAAGAAATAATAATTTCAGTTTTCGTAAATCGTTTTCAGTTAAAGGTATTCGTAAAACTATACCAACTTTTATTATCAAACCAGAATGTTTCGCAATTGAAAAACAAAAATATCAAAATTTCTATTCAGACTTATTAAATATTCTAACAAGGTTTCTTTCCGTGTAATATTGTCCATATAAGTACAAACCTGTTTTGTCAAAATTAACTACAAATATTTCCGTTTCTACATTTTATTGCTTACAAATTATAACCTTAAGTAAAATTATTTGTTTTATAAATTTGATTTATTCTTACCCCGTACGAATGAAATTAGCGAAGAATTGAATAATGCCTTCTGATAAGGATACTTCAGCTCTTGTGTAATTTTTTAGAAAATATCCAATACCATCTGCTAATGGGGCACCAAAAACAAACGAAAGTTCTTCTCCATGAACAACACCCATTCTCTGTAAAGAAATGTAGCAATAAAGATTTTTAATCGTATGTAAAAATCACACGTCTACATAGTTCTTTTTATAAGAGAGTCTATTTTCATTTCAAGTCACACCGGAAGAATATGTTATATAATAAACTAGCTACAAAAAGTACAAAAAAAAGTACAAAAAGTATTAGTATTTACTTAGTATTTTCTCAGGATCGTCTGTAAATTGCTCAGAATTTATTTACATTGCTTAAAAATTATGTAAAGATTTGATTGTTATCAATCAAATCATTGTTATGATATTATTTTTAACCAATGTCAATGAAAACTTATATCTTCCTTAAACTTAAATTATGATTTAAACTTAATTTTAGCAAATTAAATTTTTTTTATTAAATTTAAACATTTCAATGATATTGTTTCCAAGATGCACCACGTAGAGGTAACTAGTCATACATCTCACCCACACAGCACCAAAAACTTATCAAATATTCCATTACAAAAATACATGTACTCAAAAGAATACTATGATTATAAACGATAATATACTACATTTTCTATTGCTCTTCTGTATAACATATTCGTCGAAGTTTTGCTGCTGTGTGGTTACAAATCTGTAATTTATAATTACAAAATAACATTTAATACCCCAGTATAGAAAGTTTAGAAACAATCTATTAAAAAGTAAATAACACCGGCACACAAAAAAAAAAATTTCGAGTGCGAAGACCGCCACATGGTAGGTTCTCTTCCTTAAGATGTATCTAAAGAGAAAATCCTAGTCCGACCTCGAGTTTGGTTCTTGTTTCATTTTTACAGGCCTGGTGGGGGGTGTAGTTTGAGAAATTAACATATATGGGAATTTAATTTCTTTTATCAACTGAAAGTGAATGTTTGCTTATTCTAACTGTGGATTTTGATTCAGTGGCTCTAATTACATGAAAATTTAATAAATACACAAATTTAAAAATGGCGGATCCAATATGGCGGACCTAAAATGGTGTATTTTTTGAAAAATTTGCTTGGATTTCCTTGAAACTTGTTACTAGGGGGTTTTTCGGGTCGCTGATTACGAATTTGATATCAAATTTTATAAATTCAATATGGCGGATCCAATATGGCGGACCTAAAATGGAGGATTTTTGAAAAATTTGTTTGGATTTCCTTGAAACTTGTTACTAGGGGGTTTTTGGGGTCGCTGATTACGAATTTGATGTTAGTTTTTCAAAATTCAAAATGTCGGATCTAATATGGCGGACCTAAAATGGTGGATTTTTGAAAAATTTGTTTGGATTTTCTTGAAACTTGTTACTAGGGGTTTTTGGGGTCGCTGATTACGAATTTGATGTTAGTTTTTCAAAATTCAAAATAGCAGATCTAATATGGCTGAAAATTTTCGAAAAATTGTTTGGTTTTTGTAAAAAATTGCTATTTTGGGCTGTTTAGGTTGCTGAATAAGATTCTGACACTTCTAAGCAACATAAGTTAAGATTGAAAAAATTTCGCACCTACTACTTTGCTAATTTAAACTATGAAACGAAAATCGCAAATTCGGCCCATTTCAAAAGAAGTCTTTTTAATAAGTCTTAATGTTTTAAACAAATTCAAATTAAATTCGAAATAAGTCGACCGTAACTCGGCATTTCAAATACGCTATTTTTAATGTATTAAAGTTGACATTAAAATCATATTCAGCAACCTAAACAGCCCAAAATAACAATTTTTGACAATAACCAAACAATTTTTCGAAAATTTTCAGCCATATTAGATCCGCCATTTTGAATTTTGAAAAACTAACATCAAATTCGTAATCAGCGACCCCAAAAACCCCCTAGTAACAAGTTTCAAGAAAATCCAAACAAATTTATCAAAAATCCACCATTTTAGGTCCGCCATATTAGATCCGCCATTTTGAATTTTGAAAAACTAACATCAAATTCGTAATCAGCGACCCCAAAAACCCCCTAGTAACAAGTTTCAAGAAAATCCAAACAAATTTTTCAAAAATCCACCATTTTAGGTCCGCCATATTAGATCCGACATTTTGAATTTTGAAAAAGTAACATCAAATTCGTAATCAGCGACCCCAAAAACCCCCTAGTAACAAGTTTCAAGGAAATCCAAACAAATTTTTCAAAAATCCTCCATTTTAGGTCCGCCATATTGGATCCGCCATATTGAATTTATAAAATTTGATATCAAATTCGTAATCAGCGACCCGAAAAACCCCCTAGTAACAAGTTTCAAGGAAATCCAAGCAAATTTTTCAAAAAATCCACCATTTTAGGTCCGCCATATTGGATCCGCCATTTTTAAATTTGTGTATTTATTAAATTTTCATGTAATTAGAGCCACTGAATCAAAATCCACAGTTAGAATAAGCAAACATTCACTTTCAGTTGATAAAAGAAATTAAATTCCCATATATGTTAATTTCTCAAACTACACCCCCCCACCAGGCCTGTAAAAATGAAACAAGAAACAAACTCGAGGTCGGACTAGGATTTTCTCTTTAGATACATCTTAAGGAAGAGAACCTACCATGTGGCGGTCTTCGCACTCGAAATTTTTTTTTGTGTGCCGGTGTTATTTGAAAATTTTTGATTTTTCGAATTTTTAAAAAATTATCATATCTTTCATACAAATTAATATTTTTTAATCAAGTATGTCAAAGATTTTAAGGTAGGCTAATACCTAAGAGACTGACAAGTTTTACTTTAATCGGTCAAACCGTTCTTACGTGATGCTGGAACAAAATATTGCGCACATACATACATGAGAGATTCTTTTTCAATCGCCCCAGCCCAAAAAGTCAATGTTCTGGGATTGGCTTCATACTTTGGTAAATTGTTCTCCTATATGATAGTAATAAATCCTTAAAATATAAACTCATTAAAAAAATATTTGTAGAAAGTAGAGGGGGTTGAAGTTTTGACGTTAAGGGTAACATTGTCATTTTCAAATCCGTATAACTATGACAAAAGTTTATGGATTTTAATTTATCTATAATGAATTTTAATGCATTATTCACGTACTTTTCAAAAATGTATACGAAATATAAAAAAAAATTTTTTGACCCCTTTTTTTCAAAATCAACCCTTATTTTTCGATTTTCACCCCTTCGGGTATTTTTTTTTTATTATTTTCATTGGAAAGCTGAGGTTTTTTCCCATGAGCTATGTAAATATGAAAATGGGACAACATTAATTTTGTAAGAAACAGAATATTAAATTAGGCGGTGCCGATAACGGGTATACCTGGAGATCATCTTTGAGGATTTGGGTAGGCACCGCCTAATTTAATATTATGTTTCTCACAAAATTATTGTTGTCCCACTTTCGTATTTACATAGCTCATGGGAAAAAACCTCAGCTTTCCAATGAAAATAAAAAAAAAAAATACCCGAAGGGGTGAAAATCGAAAAATAAGGGTTGATTTTGAAAAAAAAGGGGTCAAAAATTTTTTTTTTATATTTCGTATACATTTTTGAAAAGTACCTGAAAAATGCATTAAAATTCATTATAGATAAATTAAAATCCATAATCTTTTGTCATAGTTATACGGATTCAAAAATGACAATGTTACCCTTAACGTCAAAAGTTCAACCCCCTCTACTTTCTACAAATATTTTTTTAATGAGTATATATTTTAGGGATTTATTACTATCATATAGGAGAACAATTTACCAAAGTATGAAGCCAATCCCAGAACATTGACTTTTTGGGCTGGGGCGATTGAAAAAGAATCTCTCACATACACTCATACATAGAGACACGCATTTTCTATGGACATTTTTGGACTCCTTGTTGTTCATAACGACAAACTATGTCAAAAGTTTTGGATTCTAAGCGATGTACAGACAAAAGTCTAATTTTGTTAATATAGATTAAAAAATTTTAAATTATTCGTTTCGATTAAATGTTCGTAATTTCACTATTTTTGCAATAAAATTTAAATTAGAATTATAAAAGATACTTTCATATATGTTTTGAATGCAACCAATTACGAAAATACTATGTTTTCCATTTTCTGAAATCAACTTTTAAAATTTGTCATTTTGTGATTTTTAAATTTATAATTTCACTTCTCTGATGACAAATTCTAAAAAAGAGAACCCTAAAATACACCTAGGGTGCGATTATGTAATTTCATTATGACATCCACATCGACATTGACTTTCATAATCACTTTCATTATCATTCTTTCTTTCATTTTCACTTTAATTTTCACTTTTACTGAAATTTCATTTTTATTACAAAAAATATTAAATGCAAGTGATATGTGATAATTTTAAATACTGTCGTCTCCATTGCTTCTGTTACATTTTTTAATTTCCTGTCATTGTATATATTTATTATTCGAAAGATGGCCTGGACTTAAGATTCCAATTCGTACAAATGAGTTCACGTTAATACTTCTGGAGAGAGTCGAATTTTAAAAAAATGTACACCTCTAGTACTTACCAGTAATGCAAAATTATTTGCAATTTTCAGTCCGATCTGAGAATCTTTTTAATTTTCGACAGAAGGATCTTATAGTACTACTCTTTAGCTTTAAAAGACATTTTTAACAATTATTTTACGAATTTTTTAAAAAAAGTTATGACATTTTGAAATTAACACTTTTAGTAATGTTAACATATACTTTGGTCATATATGGACACCTTAGAAAAAAATATTAAACATTATTCAATTTTTGTGTCATTGACTATATTAAGGTTTTTGATGTCATTTAATCCGAATTTGAGGTCAGATTTTAAAAATTCAAAATGGCGGACACAATATGGAGGCCAAAGAAATAAAAAATTTCCAGATTTACTTGAAAATTGTCCCTTGAAAGTTTTTGGGGTCACTGAATCCGAATTTGAGGTCAGATTTTAAAAATTCAAAATGGCGGCCAAAAATTTACCAGATTTACTTGAAAATTGTCGCTTGGGTGTTTTTGGGGTCACTGAATCCGAATATGAGGTCAGATTTTAAAAATCAAAATGGCGGACACAATATAGCGGAACATTTAAAAATAGAT